TTCAGAGAACAAACCGGGCTGCGGGTGTTGTGCAGAAGACGCTCGTAATGCTATGAACTATCCCTGTTCCGAAAACGTGTCGTCGTGTCCTCCGATGTGCTCGGCAGTGAACCGACCAAGGACATGCCACTATGGTGCTGAAAACACGTGTATTACACACGCTGGTTCCATCGGTCCGGTGCCAGCAGGCAATTCAGTGATGCCGAACGCGTACCCAGCGATCTCAGAACAAGTGATGCCCATTTCGCTGTCTTCCGCAGTGACTCAGCGCACCTGGCCACCTCACAGTCGAACTTGCACCGCACCTGAACCGACTGAGAGGTTCGCTTCATACGAGTATAAACCTCCGCCTGCAATTTCCAACGACTGTCATGTACTGTCCAGTGGCTACAGCTGCACTGAACAGAAAAGGGCTGGCCTTCAATGCAATACTGCTGCTGCTGCTGCTGCATCCCCGAACAGCGAACTGGATCTCAGCTCGCTAACGCTCCATTCGTCACCCAGCGTACGCAGTGAATCCATTGGCACCGGTCAGCTACCTCAGACAGAAGCGATTGGCAATGAACATGAAGCGACGCCCACTTCATCATATCAGGAAGGCAATTTAGTCGTCAGCGACATGGGATCGAATCTCGTCACGTTGATGGGCGAAACTGAAATGTTATTTTGCAGAATATGCTATATCGGCTCTTGAGCTTATAGTATTTGTTGAAACTGTCATTCGCCTTTGATTGTATCATTGTATTTTGTATCATTAAAACTTTTAAATTTATTTTTAAATCGTACGTTTTACTGTGCATGCCATGTCATGCATGAATAATGGTAATAACACTAATTTTATTCGCCATGGCTGCCTTATAGTATTGTCAGTCTTCAGCGTAATCGATTTCATAGTTCTGAAGTTGCACACGTTCATTCGATGTACAAGATCGCGAAATTTACATGGCCGTTTAAGTAGGACAGAAAGAGTTCGTCATAACTGTTCAAAGAGGTAGACATTTTTCCAATAGTTCATTGTGCCTATGCACAGGATCTACTAATCATTTTTGCCAAGAATGGCACTATCGAATTCTTGAAGAATGTTGTTCGAGCGTATATACATACTCAGGTAAATCGCTGATAGGTGCTCCGGATAGGCATTTGGAAAGAACAGTGTTGAGGGGGAAATTTGTCGTTAGGGACTGTCTTCGCGAAACACACTGATGATACCATTACTGCTTTCAAGAAGATGAATGCTGCTTTGAAAGCAGAGAAATCTTCGGCTTCAGACACAGGATAAGATATTAATGACGACAATAGCCTTCACGATGAGATTTATCAACGATTCCGGTGCAGACAGGTGTCAGTGTAGCCACATATAATAAGAGATGCCTGATTCAATCGCATATCTGGCCAACATGTACGGTTTAACTAAGCTTACTGTTGAATCAGGTGCCAAACTCACACCACTAGAGTCCAGTTTAGCCTCAGGTGGGTCAAACCAGATAATTTTTTACCTCATTCACTGCGACCGTGCACTGATTCAGGATCAGATATATGTTCTTCGCTTGAATTATTAATGTATTGAAATGGTTCTGGTAGCAAATGAAGTCAGACTTTGATTTTATTGCATTACCAAGGACGGTGTCAGTCGTGTATGTATTTTAGGCACGGAACACTGGCTGGTATTGAGTCTGTGTGTGTAACGTGAAAAGGTCGGGTGAAAGTACGCACGGCAGTTTGCACCTGTCCGGTGCAGAAGAGTTGAGACTACCATCGATTTGATAGGTTGTCGGCCAACCCTTTTAAAACCTAGGGATTGATGCTACGGTCGTGAGGTAGTCTGAGCACTCGTAGCCGTGATTAAGTGTTAAAAGCAGAAGAAAAGTCAAGCCAAGTAACTTGACGACGCATCCTCACTACTCAGAGCTATATTCACTGTCATCACGTAGGCATGGAAGCGCGTCTACTGTGCTTCGACCTTGCTTATAGGCGAAATGGCCTGGATCAGAACAATCGGCTTCAATGATATTCAGTTTCATCAGCGATTTCAGACATTTACTATAATCGAAGCGTCGGCCGGGGACAAGCCGAAAATCGTTTGAATATTCGACCTAAGGTTTCTTTGGAATCGTGGTGGTTCCGACTACCCTCCAGGAGTTAGATGTACGGGCGGAAGGCAAATTTCGATTAAACAAGTTGATTAACACAGGAGCTAGCGAAGCAACAGAAGTCTGCACACGGTTACTGGTAAATGGTCAGGTTCTGAAGCTAGTGTGCTTGAAGGTAGCAGGTCAAATGAGTAGATATTTGGGCAGACTGCATAAGATAAAGGAATGGGAGCTTTCAAACTGGCCTGTTGCTGAACCTGTTTCCATGAACCGTGATCAATTAAGGCATTAGGGTCGCTGTATTTTCTTGCTTTCCGTGTTCAGCAGCTTCAAAAAAACTTTAAACCCATTCCAGAGATTATTTTCTATTATTTTAGTCAGAAGCTTGATAGTGAATGACGAATTCAGTCGAAGAACCTCAGCTTTAAGTTGAACCTCCAGTGTTTTAACCTTAACTCTGTCGGTCGCTTTGAAGACACTTTTTTCTGCATAGCTGCTTGATCAACTGCGAGGTAAAAGGCTGACCTTTGATGAAGATGTTTTGCTCCTGGCAGCAGGTATGAGAAGTAAAAGTCAAACGTCCGGCTAGAACATCAGCTTGCGTATTAATATGGTCATATAATTCCTTTTAAAGCGTGCTCTCCATTATGTTTCTGAGATGCTCCAGACTGGTGGTAAACAATTCTCGTATTCAGTGTGCTTTGTTGGTCTGAGTAGATGTTGCGGATCGACTTTCTGTATTGATGTGGGAAGGACTCGGATAGAGCACTGATCAGAAAGCCCTAGGAGGCCGTATGCAAGAAAATGCTTCCGGAACATCCGCGAGGCAGACGTCCAGCTGAGACTCGATGTATGCTTAAAATAATATTGTTAATTGTCATAAGAAAAAGATGTATGGTGACGATTGAGGTCAACGGCGACGATTATGAGGTCCTTGACGATTACTTAGCACAGTGTTAGTGTAAAACTTTCGAGAAATGACTCATATGTCGTTGCAGCAATGAGAGTGACAAATATGGCACGTCATAACGGAGTTGAAAGTTGGCATTCAGTGTTTGGAGTAGCATCGAATATTTGTCACAAGAGAAACTAAGCTCTGGAGTCACTGATTGGCCATCGTACCATTCCTAGTTGATGCTAGTTTACAGCACCACCAACCCGAATTTTCGTTATGCCTGTGCGAAACAGCGGGTGCCCTTCTACATGCACAATCGCAGTGTCGACTTGACTGTGAAACCAAGTTTCCTGCGACAGAACTGCGCAAGAATTTGTGGAAACTCAGACATGAGCAGCTGCGACTCTGGGTCATCAATCTTATCGGCGAAGGACCGACTGTTCGCTGACAGAACCGTTGGAGATGACGAACTGTCAGCCAGCCTTGCCCCCCCCCTCTGTACCGTCGCAACATCGTCTAACAGCCCAATGCGTGCAACGTTTTCAACAGAGTACCCCGTTCTGATGTTGCCGCTATCGCATCTCTTTCGAGAGCCAGAGGTCCCTCAGTAGCACGGCTGTAGTACGGCGGGATGGGGGAACAGTTAGCGAGTTTAAATAGACAGAATACGAAAACATACGTGCAGGACATGCAGAGCAAAGTAATGAAGAATATTACTGAGCATCCCCGGAGGAAGCGTTCTGTCAACTGAGTGTGTACAGAGAACAAACGGAGAAGCGAACTAACCGTACAGCGACGACCAACTCAACGTAATAACATTTGGCACTTCATATGCACTAGATTTAATTACAATAATTTTTATAACATTATGGGCCAAAGTAGTAACTAAAAGATGAACGCCGTTCAGAAGATGTTTTGGCTCGTCTCCTACGGGCTTTTTTCAGAGTGGACCTCGGTTGGTTTCACACTCCGTAGCTGTTGTGACGCTTTCAGCCAAAAGTGTGCTTTAGGTCCATACTGCTTATGGAGTAGTGTTTACGTCACGGGCTTGATAAAGCTTGTCCAATCTGTGCAGAGTTCGTATCCTTCGTTCCGGATGACGTTTTTGCAGGATTGGCTAATTAAGGCTTCTTTGATTCGGCCGCCTGCTTGGCCAATATCATTCATCAACGATGCTCGTGCAATTTGACCATTGGGCAATGTGACTTTTCTGTATACGCGTAAACTACTTAACTAGCAACGTGAGTCAAAAGCATAACTTTGACTCGAACTGCTACAACAGCTGCCGACCACTGAATCAACCGCAGAAGTCAACCCGGACCACATCGCGGGAAAAGTCGAAACGTTCATTCAGACATGGTGATCTGGAGGTCGACCCCTGCTGCTCAGTTCGTTCATTTGTGGGAAGTACAGTGGCTTGCGGTCAAATATGCAAATAGCGATAGGACAAAGTAACCTGGAACTCGAAAAAGTTCGTCATCAGGTCATTGTTTTGCCTTGTGAGCGTGGATGTCAGTGTTCTACAGCTTCATGTCGAATGAACCGTAATGCCTCATCCTCAGCGAATCATGCTCAAAGAACCGCAGTGGTTTCTTCAAGTAAAAAACCGCTTCTCGGCATTCCGAGTGATGGCTGTTTTCAGCAGTACGTTCTAACCGTCGCACACAGATTTGCAACTCACTGCTTGTCTTGTAGCAGCATTCATTCACGTTTCCGACAGTTTCGCTTGAGCATCACCTACATTCAGTTGATCCTAAAATTAGAATGCAGGTGGCATCGAAAGCAAGCAAGGAAAATCTTTCAATTAGCTCATGCTTTTGTAACCTGTCGAAATATTGCCGCAGGAAATGAACTGCTACTGGATATTCGAGCGATGATTGGTTGGCCTGACATTCCAGGCTGATTACGAGACGAAGGGGTTTTTGTTCGGTGGCGAGTCTCATCGCTGTTCGAGGATCAACAGTCAAATGGAAGTTTGAGTTATGTTGAGTGATCGATATTGCAGCATATTTTGTGTAACCGTCCGACAGACGACGTCTAATATGTTTCGTTTTGTGAAATACTGAACATCCGTACGCATACGATGCGGACCATCGAACTCGGAAGCTACGTTTCATGACCTAAGAAAGTAGTGCCTATTTTCGCCAAGGCCTTGTAGGTGCTAATATGTCATAATGCCGTGGCTGTTAGGTAAAGGAGAGGCTGCGACAATGCCGTATGAATATGCAGGAGCGACAGGACACATGTTCCATTTTTATCAGCTCATGGAGAACCGGAAGTTTTTTAGTAAACCAATAATACCAGGGATAATTTTGATGGATATAGGAAAGTAACTGACTTCATTCAGCCAGATATTTTAGGACATTGGTATCCAAGTAGGAAGATTAATTTTTTGATCGTTATTTTTGCAGATTTGTTGATTTCATCCATCAGACATGCTTTGGATATCGTTCATTCCTGTCTGTTGTTCGTTATTCTCCTTTTGCAGAGCATCGGTGTAACGAAGTGGTTAAGCCGTTTTACATACGAGCTCTAGGGAAAATGGATTTTGTTTTCAATGCCTTATCACAAGATATTCGTGGTCTGTCTCACTGGTCTTCTCAAAATGATAGCAAGCGTTAATGATACCTGGATATTCTCTGTGAAACTCTAATGATAATTATCATCAAGTAGAAAAGTGTCAACTTGCTGCAACAAATATTTTTAATT